TAATTCTAGCCAATCTATTGGACCTGGAATTTTTTTTAGCACTGTTTGGATGAGATTAGGCTCTCTCATATTAGTGCAATCTGGAATTTTTTTTAGCACTATTCGGATGAATTGTGTATTCTGGAACTATTTTGGGGAAAGTACTGAGGGTTTTAAATGTAATTTCATGGGATATTAAACCTTCTACTGTACAAATTAGTTCTGTATTGCAAATAGAATGAACAGTGTGAAATTAAGCAACTTTGCATGTTGTTAACTGATAGGAAAGATTAAATTGTTTGATTTGGTTTTAACAATTTACTGGACAATAGCATGGACTCTAAACATTATATTATGATGTTCTAGAACTCACACTATAGAATTAATGTTTTTATGCTAATGGATTTAACAGTAGGGAAATTTAAACAATCTTGCATGCTGTTAACGGATAGAAAGGATTAAAGTGTCTAATTTTGTTTTAGCAACTTAGATGACTAAAACATAATTTTTAAATCTGTATTGGATGCATAATAGGGTCATATATATGTTAGATTTTGTTATGGTTATCCTGGATTTTATTTGATGAATTAATAAATTACATTCTGTCAAATTACATGGATGTGAATCTGGATTTTAATTGAAGAATTATTAAATTATATTCTATCAATTACATGGATGTTGGGCTGAATTTTAATTGTAGAATTAGTAAATTATATTCTGTCAATTACATGGATGTATTCTGGATTTTGATTGATGAATCATTAATTTTTGTTTTTATCAATTATATAGATTTTGTGGATTTATTTGATGTACTGTTTTATGTGTTGCATCATTTATGGATCATGTAGATAATATGCACCAGTATGGGATGGTGGCCTATTAGGGATGGATTAGATCAAAACGCTAATTTCTATCTATTCATACATACGGAATGGATTAACTAAAACAGTTAAATCCTACATGGTTTCCTGTCTTGTCAACTAAAACAGTTGAACGACATATTAGATGTTTGTTTTTATATTCTGTATTAAGAAGGAAATGGATTTAATTAAAACATTTAAATCCTAATTATATGTCGTGTCTTGGCAATGAACAATTGAGCGGCACTACATTGGTTTTGGATGGAAATTTATATATATATTTATGGTACCACGATATGAGCTTGAGTCTCAGGATTGTTGGGTAAGGAGCGTATATGCATTGGGATGCATAACTGGTTATAATGGTTGAGGTACACCCTGTTAGGTCTAGGTACTCATGCCCACCTTTGGGTACGTTTTTGCATGTTGCATTCTATTCAGGTTGAGACCCCTATTGTAGTCCAATGAAAGTCCTTTAGTGTAGATATATATATATATATATATATATATATATATATATATATATAGACTAGATAGATATTGTTGAGATATCTAGGATGTATCTGCGTATCGGGTCTCTGTTTGGATTATAGTTAGAATAGAACTTGTTCGTGGGCCTGACCCACTATTATTTTTCAGGTATCGAACGGTTCCAGTCTTAGAGCTTGTTCGTGTTGAGTAGAGACGGTCACTCATTCTTCTAACTGCGTAGTACTGCTATTTATATTTAGTTTTGGATGTCCTTTTTAGTTTAGTGTATCTTCAGTTGGGTTTTGAATAGGGGTCCACTAGATGGATTCACGAGTTGTATTTGTATTGGATGTACCATAATAGTTCTTATATATGAAATTTATTATGAAGTTTTCATTATTGGATTATCATTTTAGTTTTCTTTCAGCAATTTTTTATTTATTCCTATTTATCATAATTGTATTCTGTGTTCGATTATCGCCATTTGTTTTGATATCCTCGAGTGTTCGGGCGTGGGCCTGGCCAACCCGTATCTGGAAATACGGGGGTATCAATTGGGGCATGCTTCATAAAGAAATCACGTAGCATGGATTCAGTGACATACTTTGGAGAAGGGTTAGCCGGAGGTGCAACTTGAACTGGGGTGGGTTTTGGGGCTGCCTGGGCCTGCATCAGTGGATATTACAGTGGTGGCATATGATTAGATGAACTACCTGGCTGGTCGTACTCAGGCAGGGCTATTCTGGTAGGGGAAACGGTTCTGGCCCGTGCACTTTCCATGATCAGGGCCTCCAGTTTGTCAAGGTGGTCATTAAGGTCACGATTGGACTACAACAATTCCTCATGGACGGAAGGGGCTGCTGAGCTCTCCGGCATCGTGATGTGTGGCACGCGAACATTGGAAGCATGTGATGGCGCCTGAGACTGAAGGGGAGCATCACCACCTCCCCCAACAGAGGGCTCTGAATGATGAGTCGGCAAATCCTATGATTCCATCTGTTTGTACTAATATCCCTAGTGGAGTCGCCAAAATGTGGGGGTTCTTTTTTAATCAAACAGTAAATAATAATATAATGACGATATCAGAGATACCAATATGAAGGAAATAGAGGAGATGCTTAGAGTAAAAGGAGAAGAAGAAAACCAATTGTCAAAACGAAGATGGTGGTAGGGCAAGTATATAGTATCTTATGGCAGCTTCTTCTTCTGGGGTTGGTTATTCCTTCATAGGACGGTACCATTTATAAGCTCGGATTCCATTGGTTATTATCCAATGGTCCCTTTCGTGCATAGTTCTTTGCATCCATTACTCTCGATCTGGATTATGTGGGTAATCTTGGAGATTTAGGAGTCTTAAAGGTCTAACCCTCTTGAGCCTTGCACTTTATTGCCATGTCATTTCTTCTTTTAATCAAGGGCATTAAATGTTGCTTGGCCGCCGATTGGTCAAGCCTGACACAGCATTAAATGTGATTTTAAGGTTTGCTGTCACAACGTGTATAATCCCATCATCTTGCTAATTGGGCCTTACTGAAAGCGAAGGCACTTCTTGACTTCTCATCCACCAATCCAAGATCCTCCTAAGTTTCCCAATGTTAGATTCTTTATAGTCGCGAAAACCCTACCTTCGTTTCGTGCTATGTGCGAATTTTAATTACGAGTCTTTCAGGGCTCCGTTCCTCCAAAGTGGCATTACTTAGGCCAATACCAAGGTTTAGAGTGCTCGAGGATTAGATCCTCGAGGCTTGCATAGGCCTGGAGTGACGCCAGGGCTTAAGGTGCTCGAGAGTTGGCCACTTGAGGCTTGAGCTTGGAGCGATGCCAGGGCTTAACATGCTCGAGAGTTGATCCATCGAGGCTTAATAGGCCTGAAGCGATGCCAGGGCTTAAGTTGCTCGAGAGTTGATCCATCGAGGCTTAATGGGCCTGGAGCGATGCCAAGACTTAAGGTGCTTGAGAGTTGATCCATCGAGGCTTAATAGGCCTGGAGCGATGCCAGGGCTTAGAATGCTCAAGGGTTGACTCTTGAGGCTTGATGGGCCTGGAGTGATGCCAGGGCTTAAGGTGCTCGAGAGTTAATTCCTTGAGGTTTGATGGGCCTGGAGCGATTGCAGGGCTTAAAGTGCTCGAGAGTTGATCCATCGAGGCTTTAATGGGCCTGGAGTGATGCCAAGACTTAAGGTGCTCGAGAGTTGATCCATCGAGGCTTACTAGGCTTAGAGCGATACCAGGGCTTAGAATGCTAAAGGGTTAACTCATGAGGCTTGATGGGCCTGGAGTGATGCCAGGGCTTAAGGTGCTCGAGAGTTGATTCCTCGAGGTTTGATGGGCCTGGAGCGATGCCAGGGCTTAACGTGCTAGAGAGTTGATCCATCGAGGCTTAATAGGCCTGAAGCAATGCCAAGGATTAAGGTGCTTGAGAGTTGATCCATCGAGGCTTGATGGGCCTGGAGTGATGCCAGGACTTAAGGTGCTCGAGAGTTGATTCATCGAGGCATAATAGGCCTGGAACGATGCTAGGGCTTTGAATGCTCAAGGGTTGACTCTTGAGGCTTGATGGGCCTGGAGTGATGCCAGGGCTTAAGGTGCTCGAGAGTTGAGTCCTCGAGGTTTAATGGGCCTGGAGCGATGCCAGGGCTTTACGTGCTCGAGAGTTGATCCATCGAGGCTTAATGGGCCTTAAGCGATGCTAGGGCTTAAGGTGCTCGAGAGTTGATCCATCGAGGCTTAATGGGCCTGGAGCGATGCCAGGACTTAAGGTGCTCGAGAGTTGATCCATCGAGGCTTAATAGGCCTGGAGCGATGCCAGGGCTTAGAATGCTCAAGGGTTGACTCTTAAGGCTTAATGGGTCTGGAGTGATGTCAAGGCTTAAGGTGCTCAAGAGTTGATTCCTCGAGGTTTGATGGGCCTGGAGCGATGTTAGGGCTTAAGGTGCTTGAGAGTTGATCCATCGAGGCTTAATAGGCCTGGATCGATGCCAGGACTTAAGATGCTCGAGAGTTGATCCATCGAGGCTTAATAGGCCTAGAGTGATGCCAGGGATTAGAATGCTCAAGGGTTGACTCTTGAGGCTTGATGGGCCTGGAGTGATGCCAGGGCGAGGTTTGATGGGCCTGGAGCAATGCCAGAGCTTAAGGTGCTCGAGAGTTGATCCATCGAGGCTTTAATGGGCTTGGAGCGATGCCAAGGCTTAATGTGCTCGAGAGTTGGTCTCTCGAGACTTTATGGGCCTGGAGCGATGTCAGGGTTTAAGAGTGCTTGAGGATTGGTCTCTCAAGACTTTGACTTTTCAAATCACCACGGAGGATTAAGTTAGGGTTGTATTGACTTGTCAATGTGCCATGTCAGCTTCTAATAAGTGACACCCACATAATGTTAATGTAATCGGTTTCTTCCTTCTTCAGCTGACTGATTTCCCAAACCCTAGCTTATTTTTGCATTTGGGGTTGTCAATTTAATATCTATATGTCTCTAAAATAATCAATATCTATGTGTATATATATACACGCTCTCATATATACATCAATTTTCCTTGCAGGGAACCATTGTGTAAAATCACCGAGTTCAAAACCCGCGTATGTATATAACTAATATATACTCTTCAAATTGTCGAGAAATTTATTTTATCACTTTATATATACATATGTATATATTTATTTATTTCGTTGATATATACCATCACAGAAGTAATGGGTTCTGTTTCGAACCGTGGAAAGCTTATCAAAATCAAGAGAAGTGAAGAAGACAGGATAAGCAATTTACCAAGCAGTCTAATTGGGCATATCCTCTCCTTCCTTCCAACAGAAGATGTAGTGAAAACTAGCGTCTTATCAACCAAATGGAAGTATCATTGGACATCAATCACTAATTTTTACTCTGTTGATCGGACTCCATTTGGAAGGAGAAGGAATAATTGTGATCAGTCAGTCAAAAGTTTCATAAATTTTGTCTATCGAGTGCTGCTACAAAGTGTTTCAGATATGCGTAAATTCCATCTGAGGTGTGGTAACAAATGTGATAGTTCGCATTTTAATCAATGGATTTCTATTGCAATATTGCGTCAAGTTCGTGAAGTCGATATTATGCTCCTTATGAATAACCACGTAATGCTGCCTCATGAGCTTTAGACTTGTAATACTCTAGTGGTACTAAAACTAGATGCTATGTTTGCTCTCAATGTTCCAAGCATGGTCTGTCTCCCCAGCCTTAAAATCCTCCATCTTGACAAAATTGTGTTTTCGGATGGTGACTCAACTAAGAGACTCGTATCAAGCTGCCTGCGCTTGAGGATTTGGCATTAATAGAATGTTTTTGGATAAATATTAATGTTCTTAACATTTCGGCTCTTGCACTCAAGAGTTTGACTATTGATAATGATAGCGACCTCTACATGTACAAGGTTGTGTTTAATACACCAAATGTTCAATATCTTAAATACTTTGACGACTTAGTAGCAGAAGGGTATTCGGTGAATAACTTCAATTCTCTGGTCAAGGCGGACAAGAAGTTAGTGTTAACCGGTGAATTTGGAAGAGGAGACCATGGAAAGGAACTTGTCAGAGGAATATCTAAAGTTCAGCGGCGGCTTTATTTTGGTGCCCGCATAGAGGTTAACTTTGTTAAATGATTATGCCTATTTGTGATGCTCTTTTTGCCCAAATATACCATTTGAGACTTTATGTATCCTGTTACTTCCTTTAGATATCTATTGACTTGGTTTTCTTTTTGCGTGAAGGGACTTCAAATGTGCTCGCTCCCAAATTTCGATCATTTGACTTATTTGGAGCACCGTAAGCTTTATTGTGACAAGGCTGGATAAAGGGCAAAGTATTTCTCGAAGAATGCTAAAGTTTTGAAGTTGAAATACAGTAGCTGAGGCAGTACTATGCTTTCAGCAGTTGATATTGTGCTTTGTTTGTAATCTACCATGGATGCTTTAAACACTATTGACTGTAATTCTTATGTTCAGGATCATTAGCTATATCTTATTTTACTTGGTTGTGTTGAACTATCTGAATGATGAACGTAATCTTATTTTATTTCACTTAATTAGCAATTGATGGATATTGCTCCGTATTTGATTAGTCTGAGAGGTAGTTCGGGACTAACTCTATGATAGACTCTACCATGCATGATCTGGGATCAACTTCTTTGGGAGTGCACCACCCTTGTTATACGGTGGATGGGTTCAACATGCCCTTACAGTGTGGACGTGGTCCCATCATATAATATATTCAACTCTAATTCAATTCTAACCCGACCTTCAATAGTAACTACTAATTCGAGCCAATCGATTTTTAAATTTTTTTAACTCAGGCTTACAACTTGGATTTTGATTTCACGGTTTTTAAAATCGGGTTAATTCAGGTTGCCCTTATTGTCAATTTTCACACCGAAAATTAATGTGATCTTCTGTTAGTTTCAGATTAAATTAATCCTAAAATAAAAAATTTAAAAACTTAATGCAAGTTTCAAAAAAATACACACAAATTCTTAGAAATTAATTTCCTCCAAAATATTAATATACAAAAAAGAGTATTTACTCTTACTTTGTGACAAGAGCCGTGAGTTTATCGGAGATTAAAAATAAAAAATAAAAAAAATGGTATGGGCTCGAGCAGAATACCCCCACGGGCTTTCAACTATTATTCTCTTTGTAGAAGGTTTCAGGGCGAATCCCATGATGCTTGGATTAGAAATTTAATAATAATCTATGAAATTAGAATTTTTTATTTTTTTATTTTTTTATGGCAAAAATGTTAGAAAGGTTGAGGGGTTATTTTTGCTTTGTCCCCTGCCGATGCTTGTATATTTTATATTTTTTTATGGCAAAAATGTTAAGCAACGAAATTTGCGCTTAAAGTCTCAAACTCTGTTTGGAACACCTTGGAAAAAAAGTGCTTTACCCCTGGATGTTGCGCTTAAACTCTGTTTGGAAACACCATTTTTAGCTTGCCAAACATGGCTTCAATGTACTATCATTGCACTAAATTGTCTTGGGCAGTGAAATGGCCAATTCGAAAATGCGCAAAACCAGAGAGAAATTGAAGATCTCAAAGACAAGGGACAGCCATATATAAAGAAAAATTGTGGAAGTGGAAGAAAGAAGAAAGAGATTTTGAAGCATCTTCTCCGATTTGCTCTCTCTCCGGTGATTTCTTCTTTCTTCAGGTGACTGATTTTCTAAACCCTAGCTTATTTTTGCATTTGGGACTCTGTTAATTTAGTATGTACATATATGTATCAATAATTCAATTTCCTAAACCCTAGCAGATTTTTGCATTTGGGGACTATTAATTTAATCTGTATTTTGTGTCTCATTTATATATAAACACAATCACTCATTTATATACATCACTGAATTATATTAAAGAAGCAAACCCATTATAGATTTACATATATACATCAATGTTCCTTGCAGGTACTTAACCACTGTGTAAACTCACTGAGTTCAAAACCCTCGTAGGTAAATTACTAGTATATAAACTCTTCAAATTGTACACAATTTTATTTTATCACTTCATATATATTTAGATATATATTGTTAATATGTACCATCACAGAAGTTATGGGTTCTATTTCAAAACGTCGAAAGCGTATCAAAAACAAGAGAAGTGAAGAAGAAGACAGGATTAACAGTTTACCAAGCAGTCTAATTGGGCATATCCTCTCCTTCCTTCCAATAAAAGATGCAGTGAAAACTAGCGTCTTATCAACCAAATGGAAGTATCATTGGACATCAATCACTAATTTTTACTTTTATTATCGGACTCCATTTGGAATGAGAAGGGATAATTGTGATCAGTCAGTCAAAAGTTTCATAAATTTTGTCTATCAAGTGCTGCTACAAAGTGTTTCAGATATGCATAAATTCCGTCTGAGGTGTGAAAACAAATGTGATAATTCGCATCTTAGTCAATGGATTTCTATTGCAATATTGCGTCATGTTCGTGAAGTTGATATTAGCCTTGTGAATGAGCATGTAATGCTGCCTCGTGAGCTTTGGAATTGTAATACTCTAGTGGTACTAAAACTAGATGGTGTGTTTGCTCTCAATGTTCCAAGCATGGTCTGTCTCCCCAGCCTTAAAATCCTCCATCTTGATAAAATTAAGTTTTCGGATGATGACTCCACTGAGAGGCTTGTTTCAAGCTGCCCTGTGCTTGAGGATTTGGCGTTAATAAATTGTTTTTGGAAAAATATTAATGTTCTTAACATTTCGGCTCTTGCACTCAAGAGTTTGACTATTGATAGCGACCTCTATGACTACAATACCTTTAATTACATGTACAAGATTGTGTTTAATACACCAAATCTTCAATATCTTAAATACTTCGACCACGTAGTAGTAGAGGGGTATTCAATGAATAATATCTATTGACTTGGTTTTCTTTTTGCAAGAACGCACTTCTAATGTGCTCGCTCCCAAATTTCGATCGTTTGACTTATTTGGAGCTGGGTGAGCTTTATAATTACAAGGCTGGATGGGAATTGCTTCCTGAATTGCTTGAGTGCGCACCACAACTTGAAACCCTTGTTTGTCAGGTGACATGCTAAGCAATTTGATTAGGCTATTTTATTTAGATTAAATTCAATGTTATTTGTGCAATTACACTATAGTTGAGAATATATATATTTCTTTTCTGGTTAGGCACTTCTATATAATGGAAATTATTATGGCATTAAAGAACATCAATTTGGCTGGCAAATGCTAAGGACTGTGCCTTCTTGTTTGTTGTTTCACCTCAAGGTAATACAAATTAGGGACGTTTCAGGGAGGAGTGATGAGCTGAAAACGTAAAGTATTTCTTGAAGAATGCTAAAGTTTTGAAGAGATTGATAATACATTCTGCTCACGGTAAAAACTCTAAAATTTGCAATATATTATTGAGTGTGATTGAAATATGTGGTCAAATTATTAAATGTTCGTTATTTTTTTTGTACGCCCGTATCAATTTCAGTCATGGTGGAGGATATTCAATTTCATGCTTTTGGAAAGAATTTGCTTCCTGAAACTGAAATACAGTCGCTGAGGCAGTATGCTTTCAGCAGTTGATATTGTGCTTTGTTTTGTAATCTACCATGGATGCTTTAAACACTATTGACTGTAATTCTTAAGTTCAGAATCATTAGTTATATCTTATTTTACTTAGTTGTGTTGAACTATCTGAATGATGAGTGTATCTTATTTTATTTCACTTAACTAACTATTGATGGATATTACTCTGTATTTGATTAGTCTGAGAGGTAGTTCGGGATTAACTTTATGATGACTCTACTGGGCATGATCTGGGATCAGCTTATTTGGGAGTGCACTACCCTTGTTGTTATATGGCCATTGTGCTCAACATGCCCTTACGATGTAGACGTGGTCCCACCATTTGGTTGTGCATACGTACAAACTCAGCTACATGTGTGTTTTCCTCGGTCCGGGATTCTCAAGTTTGAAGTTAGTTCAAATGTAAGAGTGCAACTGACTTTTATTCTGATAACTGCAAACTGTTGTAAGCAAAAACACTTTCAAGTTAAATTTGTGTGCTGCGTCATGTGAAAGTGGCTAGTTAATTTAGTGTAATATGATGTTTCTGTATACTTGAAGGGGTTGAATGTGTCTTATTATTTATTTATTTTTCATGGCAAATATATTAAATTATTAATCAAACCAACTAAACATCTAAAAATTTTATTATTCTGGTTTTACTTGGCGAAAATTATTTCTCAGGACGAATGGCGCCTCACAACCACAGCATCGCGTGGGAAGAAGGCTGCGTCACATTGCACTTGAGAGGCCCAGCAAGTGGTGCTGTATAAGGTTACAACTTAGGCAGGTTTGAGGTAGAATTCACGTTCAATTCGACATATAAAATATTGAACTCTAATCCAAACCTAACCTGACCTCTAATCCTAACTACTAACTCGAACGATTTTTAAAATTTTTTAGTCTGGCTTAGAACTTGGATTGAGATTTTGCGATTTTTAAAATCGGGTTATTTCAGGTTGCCCTTATTGCCAATTTCCACATCTAAAATTAATGTAATCTTCTATTAGTTTCAGATTAAATTAATTCTAGGAATAAAAAATTTAAAAACTTAATGCAAGTTTCAAAAAAATAGAGACAAATTTTTAGGAAATTAATTTCCTCCAAAATATTAACATACAAAAAAAAGTATTTACTCTTACAAGAGCACCCTCGTGACAAGAGTTGAAAACTTACCGGAGATTAATATAAAAAATAAAAATAAAAAAGAAAAAAAACCGTATAGGCTCAAGAGCAGAATACCCCCATGTTTCAGGCCCAATCCCATGAACATTAAAGAAACAAAATCTTTATATATATATATATATATATATATATAATTCTAATTCCGCTGCCGGACTCTAACCCGGGACTCTCTCTCTCTCTCTCTCGAGCCGAATAACCAGTTTTTATTATTATTTTTATTTTATTATTTTATTTATTTATTTATTTATGATTTAATAAAAAAGAAGGAAGATAAATTTAATTAGAATATCCACATATATAGAGATTCTAAAATTAAAAATAGAAGATTCTAACGTACCAACTTAAAAAAACCCATCTTATTTATTTTTTTGAAAATATAAGATATAAATAAAATCGAAATAGGCATCTCGTACCATGCAAACCATGAACATAATGGATAGAACCTAATTCTATTTGAAGAAATAGATTAATTAGAAAATCACGGAAGATTTATTTATTATTAATTTTTTTTATAACAAAAAAATTATGGACTTAAAAATAAAAATAATAGATTACCCATCCTGCCCCTATTAGAAACTTGAAAATAGAAAAGGAAAAGAAGTGAAATACAAAGAAAATGAAATAAAGTCGTACACTAGAAATGTAAACCTGGAAATGAGTAGGGGTCAATTATCATGCAATATCAATTTACATTATCACGGAGTAACATTCAAACCAATATAATGATGTCATTATAACGCCATTAAATATAATGATGTCATGATAACATCACCCTTACTCCTAAATTGAATGTGTTCAATTCTTTGTTGAATTGAATCTGTATCATCAATGCTCATCAAAAAAAACAAAAATAAATTCACCATTGAGACTCATTCTGGGAAGAAAATCTTATCATGCGTCTTATTCCGTCTAATGTAGAATGCATCTTACAAAAAAGTTGGGACAAACATCCCAACCTTTTTCTAACGTGCATTCCAAACTGGAAGGAACAAGATGCACTATTCCACTAGAGAAGATCCAGATCCGTCATTCAAACCTAAGTCTCTCGTATGAGAAAAACAATTACAAAACACCCACTGGCCACTCTGCAAGATACTTGTGTGGACACGGATACCGTGAAAGGATAAAATAAAAACAATAATACTAAAATTTAAAAATTTGCCACCCCTAGTGTCATAGTTGAACAATTAACAAGCAATCTAAAAATAATTTCACCATTGTTCCAGTTGATTAGAGCAGGGGTGGTGAAATGATCTATCTTAGTAGAGTCATTCCTCTTAAAAGTTGATTCCACACATTACGTTTTTATTTTCTTTTTTCCTTTTAATCCTTAGAATTTGAATAGAACTTTTGAATACTAATTGAAGGCCACAAGGAAGCCACTGAAATCATCAGTATTCGGAAACCAAGTTGAGTTTGAATCGAATTATGTTCAGAGATACAAGCCTATAAAATACGAAAACATGCTCGGTAAATATATGCAGATTACATACGAATTATGACATTCAAGCCCACCTCCCTCGAGGAGCGGATTGGTCGTCAGCTCAAACCTCATCTATTTGCTCCTGCATAAACCAAACGGATTGGGTCTTAGACTTCAAATGAATTTAGGTGAAAAAGAAATGAAGTTTTAGAACCTCCAGACATATTATAATCAGTCAAAAGTTTTCACAAGCCAGGGGAATCCCCATAGACATATTATAATCAGTATATATATATATGTATATATACTATACATATAGTAAGCATGTCTAGAGTGTAGTTCAATTCACATCATCTATAGAAAACATTGTGAGAGCATTCTCTCCAAAAAGGAAACCAAATCTCGTTTGATTCGATGGATATTTTTGGTTCAAGAGTTTGATTATGAGATCCGGGATAAAAAAGGATTACCTTCCTTCATACAAAGGGTAGAGTCTTTGTTTCAAGTAAAGTCCATTGGCGAGAGATTTCGTCTTTTTCTTTATCTTTTTAATTTTATTTTCAACTCATTCATTACTAAATTTTAGGGGAAGGACAAGCCCGATCCTTGCACTCCTTTGGTGATGCTCCTGTTACTTCATATTTTCACTTCCTGGGTAATGATTTTATTTTTAAGAATTCGGAGTAGAGTGAATTTGTGCTTTCTGATGCTATATGATGTTCCAATATGAATGAGTATGTTTGTTGACATTCATGTTGAGATAGTCGGAGTATTATTAATGCCATCGACATGTAAAAAATCTTCTAGAACAAGTAAATTTTGCCTTAGTTATAGACGCGAAAGAAAGTTGCAGGTCATTTGGGTAATTATATAATCATGAACAAAAAATCAAATAAATGGAACCTTATCCCAGGAGAATTTTTGGACAGTAAATGAAGATTATAGGGTGAAGTACAGCCACATCTCCTGAGGTTTGACAAAAAGACACTCAGACCTATTTTTTGGACAAAGACACCCTTTTACATGAGAAATTGACCAAATTACCCTTTAATCATTTATGAGACTTTTTTAACTTTACAATTTAATAAATTGGACCAAATTACCCTCATGAACAATTTATGCATAAAAAAAATAATAGTAAATAATTTTTTTTTTTTTTTTTTTTACTTTATAAATGTCCCAACTTCTTAAAATTGTAGACGTCTAAAATGATTTTTTGATCCAATACAAATATTTCAAATAAATTATATTTTGTTATTACCTCTTTTCTTTTCCTTTTTTATTTTTAAATTAAGATGTTTAATTCTTTCATCTAAAAAAATTAAACCAATCTCTTTTCCATAAAAATAAAAAATATAGTACCAATATAACTTTATGCATCTTAAATTATATATAAAATATTATCCATTTCCCAACATAAAAGGGGAAAAAAAATAAAACAAAGGGAAAAAATAAAGAAAAAACTACACATAGGTAAAGTTAGGAGCCATAAATAACAAATCGATCAGTTTGAAAAGTTAATTTTCTATTTTGATTAGATTAAGCGAAATAATTACAAATACATCAATATTTATTACTCAGGTCCAAAATATCCTCACAATCTTATTTCAAAATCCCAAAATATCCTCCTTAAAATTATATATATTTTCAATATAATAAAATAAATAATTAAAAATTAGTTTGACTAGCGAATACTAATTCTCTATCACTTACCTTCATCGTCAATCAGCCACCAACGTGCAGGGCATC